CATACACACTCTGCTTTGTTTAAAAAAAATATAAATATAAAAAAATAAAACCACGGATGTATGGGGGACAGTGATTGGTCTACATGTTAAGAATGCTGGAGTACCATAAAGAATACATTATGAATAGTTTAGTTTGTGCCTTCTTTTTTACCTCCATGTTGAGTTTTGCATCTCCTTGGTGGAGCAGTTTGCAGATGATTAAATAATGAATAGATGAATTAGTGGAGCTGCTGGTACTGTGATGTACTACTGGTACATATAGGTAGGTTACAGCGACTGCTGTCGGTCGATACTCGATAGCTGTGAGTGTTTTCTTAAAGTTAGGTGTTGCAGTGGTTACAGTGGTCACCCCACAGCTAAAGACACTCCTGGTTGACCTCCCTGGGTTTCCTCCAGCTGCCTCTCATTGTAGGAAGTTATTCATGATGGAAAAATTGGTTGCTTTAAACTGGCTTCAGGTTTTAAACATGTCTCTGTTCTCACTTCTTCTTAATGGTCAAGGTTTTTAAAACAGTTCTGCATCTTTAAAGATTATTGACAAGCAGGAAAAAAGAAGAACCTCCATCAGATGCCCTGAGCTTGTATTTTAAGAAGAAGTCTTCTTTAGGAGTCTGCGTGGGACCAGGCAGTTTGGTCCAGCTCTTGGATTTACTTTATTCCCTGTGTTCTTTGCATCGTCTGCAGCAGCAGGAATCTGCTCTCTAACTTGCTTTGCTGTGACCAGTTTTCTTTGTGCGACTCAAAGAAAACACAACTGTTCTTCAACAATTGTGATAAAGGCATTATCACACTAAAGTTACGGTAGCCCCTGAGGTTCAGCTCTGAGAATATCACTTGTTTTAATGTCTTTTTATGGTTTGCATGTAGTGACAAGGTGGCAGCTGTTTTCTCCAACTGTATAATGCTCAGACTACAGCGCTGCGCCTACCCAACATATCGTACTCCATGCTGCAGGTCAGCTATTTAAAAAAATAACACTTTGAAAAGCAAACAAACATTTCTAGCAAAGTCTATGCATCAAATTCAGCTGTAGGAATATTTCCTATGATATTTAAGACAGAATTAGTCAGATTGCTGATGAAGATTCTCAGTCAGCCAGGTCATGGTCATTCCAAAAAAGTTAAAAAAACAATCCACTGGACTTCGATTCCAAGTTTGAAGACGTTTCTCTTCCCATCCAGGAAGCTTTTTTAATTGAAAATGTTAGAAATAGGATTGAGTTTGAGGCTTTATATAATAGCCCAACAAAGCCTTTAGAAAACATGCAAACTGAAGCGGAAAAAACGGGTCCACCCCTTTCGAATGGGGGTCATTTGGCTTCTTTCGTTAGCCTGCAATGCCCCATACCTGTCTATGCATCTGAAAGGGGTGTTGTTAGGTAGTCAGAATATACACTAATACCAAGTAATTTCTGCCAAAGCCTACACTAGCTGCTGCAAGGATCACTCTAATTAAGTGAACTTAAAAGCCGAGTCTGAATATACAGTATTACATGTAGTGAAATAGGAAAGTAAAAGGGAGCATTTGATAGAAAGCCTTGTGGGAGGATACAACGCTTACATAATGCATTTAACAACCTGCAAAAAATAAGTTGCATGTGTTGCTGAAAATGATTGAATTCAACATTTATTTTAAGCCAACCTGGGGGAAGTCTCCGTTTCCATTTTTATGGAGGTTGAGGCTGGTTAAATCCATGTCAGGGAATCCTGTGTACATGCTCATGTGCATATCAGGAATGTTGGTGGTAGTGCTGCTATTTAAGTGGTATTGCCTGGAGAAAAAGCAGAAAACACAAACATTTAGGTGGCTTGAAATTCATCATATGTAAGCAGTACAGTCTTTGTGTCACCTCCACCTTTAAAAGGAAGTAAGATCGCTAAATGTAAGCATAATATGACAATCTCTATACAGACATGAAATGCTAACCCAAAAAGTTATAGCCTTTGGTGATTCTACTGGGCAACAAGCAGAGACCAGTTATAAGAACCACCTTAAAGGAAGCCCAGGGTGTAAAGTAAGGGTTAACAGGAGCAAAAGCTTTCGGTTTCATCCATGTTCAGTTCTTTCAAAGTTAAAGGTTGACTGATAACAGTCTTCTCACAAAGTGATTCTGAGCTGTAAATGAGTTTAAACCTTATGAAACATTCAGAAATGATTTGTCTAGAGTTGACAGCAACAGCAAATTCAACTAAAAACCGGCAGAGAAACCAAACCTGTCTAGATCCGAGCCAAACAGACAGGTTAGACATGATAAGGGCAGCCAGGCATCGACAGCAGCATAAGCAAAACACAACGAGCTCCTACCCACCATGAAGGCTCCCTCTTCCTGAACACCAAACATCTTCTGGGGCATCAAGTTAACTTCTGCCACATATGATCAGACCCTTTACTCTAAACATGTTGTGTTTTCAGTTTCCTAAAGAGGATAAGTCACAAGGCTACCGAGAAATCCTCAGAGCAACCGGGTTGAGTGAGCGCTCAAAGCAAAAGCAAAACTTAAGTCCTGTTGAGGTGAAACCGTCCCATCAGCTGGTTATCCAATGGGCTGCTAGAGCTCGAACTTAAACAGCTGGACCTGAGCCAAAGCTGCTCAAAGGGTTTGGCTCCTGTGTCCTAAGCTGCTGGTCAGAGATCAGTGTTACTGAATGACTCAGCTTTCAAACATACCAAACACAATAGTGGGATCACCATTTATAATGACGATAACTGCTGTGTTATTTGCTGTAAAATCACGCAGCATTAATTTATGTTGCTGGTTAAATTATATAGACGAAGTTATAGAAAATCTTTAAAATAAGCCAGATTTTCAAAGTTTTATCAAAACATAGCAAAATAGGGATAAACATGTTGAAAAGTCCAAAGGAGGAGGAAGAAAGGAAAAAACAAACATTAGGACTGGTTAAAAAAAATCCTCCAGACTGGAAATCCCCCCTTGTGGTTTTATTTTGCTTACGGTGCAGTGACAGCATCATAAATACAGCAGGCCTGAACACAGCCGGTTGGGGGCTTAGACTCACAGCACTGGACCGACCTCTCTGTCAACGCAAGTAACCTCCAAATTTAATTGTTTTAATTCATATCATTTCACTATCATTTTTAATTAGAGCCAAATTAGTCAGCAGCCTCATGCATACATAATTTACCCAACTCATAACATGCCATCATGATAGGTTAAACAGAAGTCTTTACTGACAGGTCACGTTTTGTTTGTATCTCCATAGCTCACAAGTGGTGACTGCAATATAAACAATTACCATATTTTCCAGACTATAAGCAGCCATTTTTTTCCCACGCTTTGAATTATGCGTCTAGTAAGAAGGTGAAGCTTTTCTTTAGATTTTTCCTAACTGCCAGAGGGAAAAGTGAAAGTTGGAAATGAAAGAATTAAGTGGCTAATTTTCGTTGAGCACAACAACATGCTAGCAGGTGGGACCAATGGAGAACAAATGTTCCATATTCCCACATTTTGCACATTTGTTTGCAGCATTAAAGCTGCCGAACCAATACAGAGGCTGGGCTCAACTCCTGCGGAGCTGAAATTAAGAGCTGACGAAACCTAATCTTTCTGTAGAAGCTGCTGTAACTGCTACAAGTCAACAAGCTAACAACAGTTAGCATTCTTCTTCTTCCCTATTCTAGGGGCTATATGTAGAGTTCCGCCTACAGGTTTGGTTGGGTACATATCAGTAGACATCAGCTGCTTATAGCCCAGTTCTGCTTATATATGTACGCCTCAAGTTCTTTCAAAAAATTTAGTGGGCGTGGCTTACAGTGTGGTGTGCTCTATAGTCTGAAAAATAGGGTAGTTATAGTGCATAAAAATCCATCTCTTTAGTGAGAAAAACATAGAATGTAGTTAAAAGACTAATTTCAATAAATACTACTAGTTTTAAAAGCACAACTTTGGTTGTAACAGCAGGAATGCCTTTAACTACAAGAAAAGAGTCCAATTATTATCAACAGTTAAAAAGCACTTCCATAGAAATGATGATTATCAAGGAGTAAGCCAAGCATGACACACCACACAGCAACCCACACATAGACATGCAAGTACGGAAAGTTGCAAGGATTCCTCGGAAGAACACTTCCTTATAGCTACTACAAACAAGAAAATAAGAGCTGTCATCCGAGTGTGCTTAGTGAACCTCAGGTTTTAAGCTGTGCAACGCACGCCACTCTGTCAGCAGCAAGTATTAATGTTGAATAATGCACAGGAAGCTCAAACAAACCTAAGAGTTGTGACCAAGTATAAACTTGTCCCATTATCTCCCTTAATCAGAATAGATCAGAAGGAAATGGTGGCTTTGGAATGTGAGGCACAAAGCTTTGGTAGGAAAACTGACCTTATAGTGCAACTAAGAGGTGTTTGCATCACGCACACTTTTGGATTTTATTTATTAGAACAAAGTAGTGGGAAAAAGACAATAAATAACTAAAATCAGTATGTAAAGGTCACTTAGAATAATCACCTCTGGTAATCTGGGCACTCACAAATTATTATTACTTAAGTAGAAGGGTAAATCCCACAGTTAAAAAATACTTCGGTAGAAGTTAGAGATCAACTTAAGCTTTTTACTTAAGTAAAAGTGTGAAAGTACCATTTTTATAACTTCTTAAAGAATAAAAGTAAAAACAATGCAGGAAAAATATTAAGGACAGAAGCTTTACTGCACGACCCTATTAAAGGACATTTTTCTACAATTCTGGATGATAACTTCCTTATACTTAAGTTCCTTAGTTTTATAACTAATGTTAACAGTAGGGCTGCAACTAACGATTATTTTGAAAATCGATGAATCGGCCGATTATTTTTTCGATTAATCGATGAATCGGC